GGTTGGATAGGCATCTAGCTGGGGTCATCTAGACCCAGCCCTCTTTCCTGCCTATGCAGGGGGTCGGACTCAATGATCTATTGAGATCCCTTCCGACCCTAGTATCTATGAATCTATGAATCCTGCTGGCCCAGGGGCTTCAGATGCAGGGAATGGCTTCATGGGGTGCCAGACTTGTCCAGGGACAGCAGTGGCAGCAGGCGGGTCCTCCCTTCATGCCCCTTTTTCCTGCCTACCTCCCCAAATGGGCATGAAGTTAACTAGGGGGGGTGATGCTCTCTGCTCTGGTTATCTTGGACTCCCAATTATTTGACTAAACCTTTACTAGCTGCACAGAACCATGGCCTTTTTGCACACAACCAAGGGACAGCCCCTCGGCCAAAGCAGACAAACACCACACTCAAGTCTGACTGTGAGTGAATGAGCGCTGGGCAGGGAGACATCCCACCCAGTATCAGCCATGTTTGGCAGCTAGCAAGTGCTCCTGCCCCAGAGAGAGCTTCTATTTCCCACCCTCCACCAATCCTTCTCTGCTTACCTTCACCAGGATCAACTTGGTTTCCTTGGCCCTGGTCTCTGAGAAGCACTGCCCAAAGCAAAGGTAAATGGTGAAGTCAGGAGAACACTCCCTGCGGTGCTCATGAAAGTCCTTCAGCTCTGCAAGAGAGGAGATGGGAGGGTTTTTTTTGTTAGTGAGTGTGGCTGGGGCAGGGGTAGAATCAGAGTTTGCTGGGCTGAATACATTGCCTGGGGAGGTTGAGAAGATGCAGGCCATGAAAGGAGCTTTCTGATTAAGGGCTGGCTCAGTTTGAGAGAACAAGATGCTCCTGGCTGTTGCCTCTCAAGCACCAATGCAAGATCTCCTGGAGTTTCTCCTAAGTGGGATTTGTAAACACAATACACCGTACCTACAGGCAGGCTGGGCCTGGCCCATGATCAACCTAAGGACTTCAACCAAACTGGGGCCTGATTATATGAGGCATTGTCCAACCATATGACCACTTCTGTCCTAATGAGAAAATCCCATGGTGTTTCATCCTGGCTAACAGAACTACCCAGGAAGCTAGATGGAGGTGGAACAGGCTGCCTGCAGGCTCACCTTCCCAGAAGGCCTCATAGTTGTAGAGCTCCACATCTGTACTGCGTGGCAGCAGCCTAGGCTCAGGGCACTGAGTCATATTGGCCAGCTGCTTGGAGAAGGCCCAGAAAACCTTGCATTTATCCAGGCGTCGGGCATAGATCCTGTTGTTCCGCTGCTCCAGCTGCAGCCTGGCATTCTGGAGCAGATGCTTGGTGAAATGAACCTGCTTGTGATCTGCCAAATGGTCTGGGCTTGGGAAATGCACCACCTGCATGCAGTCCTGGGGGAGGGCAGGGTCTTCATTATTGTATGTGAACAGGCACTTGCTCTGGGTCACTTCCACGAGGTGGGACTGCTTCCCCCGGTAGTAGATGGTGATCTCCAGATTGGGTGGGACGGTTCCTAAAAGATACAAGAGAATGCTTTTAATTATTAATATGTAAATGAGGGAGACTTGCTAAGGGGACTGGCCCTCTGTAACAGGTGGCTGGATTGAATCTCGTCTAGGCTGGAGGTGGCCAGAAGTTGATGCCATCCAATGGCTTTTTGGTGGCCACTGAGTATGATATGCTTTGGTTTCCCAGTAGGGCTGCTACATCAGAGTTCACTACAGTGTGTGCAAATATTCCTG